CACTCTTTCGGTATCTTCCCCACCCTCATTGACTTTCTTTCTCTCTCTGTCTGCGCTTGCATGAGTATAGTTCCTCAACACGCGGTTCGCACGCATAAGTAGTGCAGCGCAAACTAGAAGCTGATCAGTATACAACCATACTGCTCGTCTACGATTTAATCATAAATCTCGTAATCCAAGTGAAATTTAATCTATATTTTTTGGAATTGTGATTTAAGAAAACAGATTTATTGCCTCGAAGGTTAGTGCCTGTTTGTCGAATAGAGATTTTGTATTATATATAATCATAAAATATTATATTCGTGGATTATCACTGATAATCATACCTGACTTTGTATTCAAATGTAATAATAATATAAAGTTAAATATACTTTTTATCTTTGAAACGAAAATATTTCTTTAATATTATTTCTCTAATTATCGCCGTCTATATAAAAATTAAATGAGAAATAATTAAAAATATTTTATAAACGATATTTTTTAATATAAGTATTATAATTTATTTTGGTTCATATTTACTTGTTTTGAATTTTAAAATGTTATTAAACTAGTTATACGTTATTTTTAAATCGTAATAATTTTAAACTAAAATTCAACTTAATTTTATTTTGAATATCTTGCTATTCATAATCTATAAATCTAAGAAATTGAAATTGTATATGTTGCATGAATAATTTCCAATTTATATTAAAGAATATTTACTGAAACTCTTCAAATAAAAGCAAAATTGCAGATATAAACCGTGTAATAAATTTTATAAATGTATTGTTTTTTTACGCAAAGTACAAAATGACTCTGAAAAGTTAAAAAAATATTATTTAAAATGTACGATGTACTCAGTTCTTAATTTATAATTGCATCATTATTTTTAATCAACGATGAAAAATGAGATTGTATGAAAAAAATACACCACTTATCAAATAAAATTATTATTGTGTAAGAAAATTTAATTCAACTTTATTATTTTAAAGATATAATTAAATAAATTAAGCAAAAATAAAAGATTAAAATATTTATAATCATATTTTTATTTAATGATGATTTCCTAATAGTATTTTTCCCATCTTCCGAAATGGTCAATGTTTTTATTAAAGGCTTTTGATTGTTTTTGTTATTTTGGTTATTCTTATTTATGCTATTCTGGCAAATTGAAATTTGAATATTTATTATTTTTAAAATGTTCAAATGATATAATTATATACTAGTAACTATGAATAAATAATATAATTAGATATTATTCAATTAAACTATTTATATAGATATATATGTAGAAATAATTATTGGCATTCATTTGCTGATTCGTAGATCTTTTTTAATAAATATTAATATGGAAAATCAAATCTTCTCATATTTTTATTTATATTTACTATAGATGTAATCAATATTTATGACAAATATAAAAGAGTATTATAATTTTTTATATTTCAAATAATTTTGTCATCAAATAATTATTGAAGAATATTAATTTTAATTAGTCCATCTTAGTAATTCACTATTAAAAATTAATTTATTTACTATTGGATAGACGGTTTAATAAAATCTAATCAATATTACATATTGGTTTTAAAAAATTTAGTATTTTTATGAAGTTAACGTCTTTCATTTATGGGATAAAATGAATTTAAGGCGGAATTACTATTAAAAAAATTGATAAAAGTATTAACTACTTAAAATATTAGAATTTGAGATAATAACATTATTATATAAACAATTAAATATAATAGTAGTATAATTTATTATGTAACTCGTTATGTATGTTATGCATAATTTTAAAAGAATTAAAAATCATATCCAGAGAAATAGTCAGAATAAGAGTAAATGTTTATATATATATATATATATATATATATCACTTAAACGAAAGTGCAGTTTATGTTAAACTATTTTGTGTATTAATGTTTCAAATTAGTGTACTAATGATATCTTATAAATGAGTTTAAAAGTTGCAATACATATAAATTATATTATATAAATAAATAATTAGAAAACAATAAATTTACTAAAGTTTTATATTCTAAACTTACAAATTAGTTTATTTTTATTAATACTATACAATTTATTAAAATATTATCTTAATTATTTTTTAAAAGTAATTTAACGTTCTGCCAATGATAAATGAATAATTATGAATCAATAGCTTGATTACAAACCAGTGCAGTACAAATTTATAATTAAAATAATTTAGTTGTTCGTGTATTTGTTTTTAAAAATGAATGTAATTCATAAATTATATAAATTTATATTTTCGAATAATTTTAATTGTTGAGATTTTAATTTTTAACTTAATAAAACATTAATAATTTATTATTTAATTAGTTATTATAATATTTTTATTATCCCCATTATTATATTAATCATGTATTATTATGTTTATATATAATAAAATACCAATTTACAAAATGGAAGCAGTGTGTTGAAATTAAATTTTTAATCTCTTTTTAAAATATGTAAAAGTATGATTTTGAAATTCAATTTTAAGTAATTTTACTTTAATTAGGATTTCGATTATAGAATAAAGACATAAATATTATTACTAAGAATTATATTAACGATAGGATTCAAATTCATTAAAAGTACTGTTTTACAAAATTCAAATTTTATTAATTATATTTAATGCTAGATTATAATGTTTTTTATATGATCATACTTGTAATATTATATGGATTTCCGTATAACTTTCAAGATTTTTAGTAAACATAAACATTGTAGAGTTTGTAATTAGTCTTGCACGATATATCGATAACGAAAATGTAAAGCACGCCAAGTGTATTGCATTTCGCACAGCAATTATTAGTTAATTTCATACGCTTCCCAGCGTTTCCTGATTCTCACGTTGTTGACTGTGCAGTGTTGATTTCATTTTTTTTTGCGTCACTGCGTGAATAGCGAGTGCTGATGCGGCCCTGAAATGCAGTCAATCATTTATCATGCACAATACGTGCTGCTCTTGTATATTTTTGTCTGTGAGTATATTTGGTTTTGATTTTTCTTTGTTATAAATGAATATGTAACTCACAATATTCCGATGATAAATTGAGTATATGTTTATAATTATCTTTTAAAAGTAAAAATTTAATAAGTTCCTAATGTTAAAATGAATCGAGCATTTTATATGCAGACTTATTATTAGTAACAGTCGTATAAAACAATTTTCTTGATACTTAAATAATTGATGATTTCGTGTAATGATCTATTACTATCTAATATATATACTTATTATCTTGCTTAATAATAAAAGATTATCTAAAACCAATAAATTACAATTATTATGATTATTATTATTATTATTGTATATATATATATATATATATATATATATATAAATAAATAAATATGTGTGTGTGTGTGTGCGCGTGTGTGTGCACGTATGTATGCATAAATAGTTATCAAAAAAGATAACGTTAATCAAATATATATTTGTATATGACTGACTGTACTCTTAAATGTTTTTTTGGTATAAAATTCACGATAGCTCTTATATATAAATAAACTACATGAATTAATTAATTACCGAAATTTATAATGAACTATTTATAGAAGAAATACTGTTCTATTTATAAGTATTAAATAGATTGGCTCATTATACAACGTTTAAAGTACTGTTTATTCTCTGTTATTTATATTAATTAAATATTATTTGTATTATTTAAAAATCTGTTACTAATAAATTTAGTTTAATTAGAATTACATGATTTTATGTATATTTAATTAATATTTTTGGTAAATAGTCTAGTAATAGGCAGACAAATATAATTGTACTATAAAACGTTGAAACTGTAATATTTACATGTATCTACATATTTTATGAATCAATTCAAAGTCATTGTTAAAATATAGTATTTAAAATATAAAAACATTGCACAAAGTACTTTTAGTTGTTTTTATATCTTCAGGCAAGCCAATTCCGCGCACGAAAGAACAGCATGGTCATTGCGCACTTTTTATTAGTCATATTTGAAAATAGACTGACTTAAGTTACGTTCTACTTACAGCTTAAGAAGCTGCTGTCATTTATATTTTTTACAATTTGGCAGAGGTGACCCATTATTTAAGTAGAATTTTAAGAGAAATATATACAATTTTTTTTATTAAAAGAGTGTAGAAGGCTGCATAGATTGTCAATCACAGATTTCTTTTTGATTATTGATTTATATTTTAATTATTGGCAAGTTATCAATCTCTATATATCTGAATTGTAAATCTATCGTTTTTTATTTTTGTATTTGTTTATAAAATTATAAAATTAAAATTTGATTTATCTGACATGTTTGCACCACAGTTTCTTCTGTGTAGACTTATTAATGAAATAATATTTGCAGCAATATTTAATATTATGCTTCATTCGTTTTGACAATTTTTATTATTACGATGCTATTCTTATAATTTAAAAATACATTGTAATATTTTTATAACAGTTTTTATTATTTGTTACTTACCATTAATTATTCATATTAGCAATAGATTTATATATCATATATTCTTTTACAATATAAATAAACTTATCAAACATTTATTTAATTAAAAATAGGATTTAATTGTAATTTAAGCCCACTATGAATTAGAATAAATTTTTATTTTAAAGTTACTTTTAATATTGAAGAAGAGTTGTGATCATTCGTGACTATGGTTCTGTGGCTTCTCTCCAATTTGATATCGTAGCTCTGGCGTCGTTTAAGCATGGTTTCAATCTTTGTATTTGGAAAATCACCACTAATAACATCGTTGCACTTTTTCTGATATAACTTTTCATGCATTTCTGCTTATACTTGAAGTCTAACACGATTTTTGCAAAAGATTAAATTTTTTAAAAAAAATTTAATTAAATTATTTTATTAGACAAAATCAAATATCAAAGTAAAACTATTATATTAAGATCATTCTTAAACCGTTTCTTTAAATATACATGTATATAGAAATAACTGTTTATTAAAAAAAAATTTTAATCGTTTTAAAATACTTAATATCGACAGTTTTTATTAATATTAGAGATTTTAATATTGTTTAATATGAATTTACATAAGAACCCTCACTTATAAAAAGTCATACTATATTTTATAAAAATCAGTTTCCTTTAATATAAATAAAATATTGATCTAAATATTTAAATTTGATTAATATTCAGCCCATTTATGTATAAAATAATAATATTTGAATTCAAATTAATATTGTTTAATTTTATCAGTCGTGTTATAACTAATAATCTACAATTGTTGAAGAATTAGCAACAACATAAGTTTACAAAAATAAAAATATTTTCAATTCGTTTTATTTGATAAGAATGATTTTAATTAAGAAATTTCATATTTGATAATTGTATAAAAATAACGTTTGTCAAATAAATAAAATTTACATTATTTTTCTTGACTAAAACTGTTTATTCATTTTATACTTTATAATTCAAATTAAGTTATAATTTGAATAAGATTTTTCACAATTTTTTACTAACATAGTAATTTTTTTATTATCATATTTATAGTATACAATATTAAAATTAGGATAATTATTCAGTTAATTAATACTAAATTAATACTAAATTTTCTAATGATTTAATATTGATTTTTTTATTTACTTAAATTTGTTTTATAAGTAATATATAAAAATTTAATCTTCACGTCATATTGACCTTTAACCATTTATAAGATATCTAAAATATCTAAAATTAATCTATTAATTAAGTAAATAAAATTTTAATAAGTAAAATTATTAGAAATATTCTAATAATACATATATTTTTATCTTCTATTTTTTACACTTATCCGTAAAATTATTTATTCAAAATATTGAAACATATTTTTTTAATTAGTAACTAGAATTCAATTAAAGAATAAGAATTGTGTAACTATGAATTTCTTACAATATTGATATATTTAAAATTCAAAAACAACTGTTATTTTTGAAATATTTTAGAATTCTCTACTAATGAAAATTGACGTGAAAATTGAAACACATTTATATAAAATATATATGCGTAAACATTGAAACATGAATACTATAGATTTTGTTTTAATTAAAAAAATTGTTATATTTATAACAAATTTATTTAATTAGTTTATTGAACAGTTAAAATAAAATATATCTAGTAAATTCTGTTACTAGTTTTATCTATAAATACAATTTTATTATAATTATTTAAAAAATTTTATTATACATATACATCAAAGTTTTTTTGCACTTTAAAAAAAAATTCATAATTAATTTTAAAACCGTTTTCTAATTGTAGGATCATCATAAGTATAATGTCTCGAAAGATGTTGAAGGATTCGCCAAATGCGGCTCTGGATAAATCATTATTAAATCGATATTTTGACTTACCACAGCCCGATAACAAGTTTCAAGCTGAATATATATGGATTGATGGCACAGGTGAAGGTTTGAGAAGCAAAACGCGTACTCTTAACGGAATTCCAAATAAACCTTCGGGTACGTAATGACCATATTTCTCTTACACCTATTTGTTAACTTATTTTCAATACAAAATATTTACATATTTTAAGATTTTAATATTTATTTAATAATCTTAATATTTATTCAATAATTTTAATATTTATTTAATAATTTTAATATTTGTTTATAGATTTGATTATTTCTTTATTAAGGAAGATGTTATTAGTCATTATTAAGGATTTTTTTTATTAAAATTTGATTCGCTTTACATCTTTGTATTTATATAATCGAAATGTAGAAAGTATAGAAGTTTTTAATGCATATCAGATATTTATTTCAGTAAAAATACTGATTGATATTCAATTTAACACATTACTTTGCATACTTGTAATATCCATTTATTTATAAAATAATATTTGTTACGCAAACTGATCAATCGGGTCAGGAAAATGATTTATTTGAAAATATTATATTAGAAATGACCAATTTGTACATTATTGTATTAGTTCATTTACATTTTACAGACCTACCAATATGGACATATGATGGAAGCTCTACATACCAAGCTCATGGTGAAAACAGTGAAATTTTCCTCTGCCCGGTGGCAATTTATAAGGATCCATTTCGTCGTAATAATAATATTTTAGTTCTTTGCGAAACATATAATTTTGATCATACTCCAACTGCTACCAATAAGCGACTTGCATGCAAGGATGCTATGGATTCTCCTGCTGTGAAGAAAGAGGAGCCCTGGTTTGGTATTGAGCAAGAATATACTTTCTTAGACATTGATGGCAGGCCCCTTGGTTGGCCCAAGAACGGTTTTCCTGGACCTCAAGGACCCTATTATTGTGGAGTAGGTGCCAATCGCGTAATTGCTCGTGAAATTGTTGAGGCTCATTACCGTGCTTGCCTCTATGCTAATGTACCGATTTGCGGTACCAACGCCGAGGTCATGCCATCTCAGTGGGAATATCAAGTAAGATTTTTTTTTACTACGAAACATTATATAATATATAAAGAAATTATTAAATAAGATATTATATATAAAGAAATATTGTAAATTATATATTATTCAATTGCAAATCACGTAACAGGAAAAACATTATATCTACATGTATTAGATTTTTGAATTTATACTATCCTAGTAGGAATATGTTTTTTTTTTTAAAAAACTTAATATTTTTTACCTTAACTAATTTTTGTAATTCAGTAATAAATTTAATTCTGATAGAAAAAATCGTAAAATTATAATGTAAACAAATAATAATTTTAAGTTGATAGGTAAAAAAAAGAAATGTTTATAATTTCTATATAATTTCTATATAAATAAAAAGTACATAAATATTCGTCCTGAGTCAGTCTACTTTCATTCATTATTAATGCTGTTAATTATAGAGAATACTGGACTATAGATTTGTTCTTGAATGCTAAATACATATATTTACAATATTTGTATATCATGCAAATTATAGATAGTGTTTACAATCTAACACTATTCTTTTTTTTTATACATTCTATACTTTAAATTCCACATTATCAATTTTTAATGCTTGCTTAATAAAAATTTTTAATTATATTTTATTTCCCTATATTATTCTATATTTTAGAAATTAGTTCACTGTAATTATAAAACATAACTTAATCATTTTCGAAAATTAAAAAGCAAAATATACTTTAAATATTTTAAATCAATATTTTATCGATTCAAAAGTTATGTTTAATACAATTATATGAAATAAATCCAATGGTTTATAATGTAATGACTTTTTAAATGCCATAATTGTAAGTTTAAATGTCTTCTCTTCAAATGATTATAAATTTTTTCTTTTCCTTAAAATTTGAAATACTTCAAAGAAATACTTGGTTATCACTTTCTATAACAATATTAAAAATAATATTGCACATACATTATCATATACTTAAACATTTCATTATGTATTATAGAAAATACTAACCATATCGAACATTTTCTGGAAAATTACATATTGCTTAACATTTATGATGTGAATCGTGTAGTATGAGATGAAATAGCATCGATGAAACTATTAAAATAATATTAACATTCAATTTTAAATAATTTTTTTTTTATTAATTTAAATTTTATGTTTAATCACAATATTAAATTTTATATAAATAAATTTGTATCTATTTATTCTGTTGAGAAACTATACTTTATATCGAGTATTGCTATTTATTTAAGTTAATTACATATGACACATGAAAAAATAATAAAACCAATCAATAAAAATACTAAAAAGTTATTACAATTATAATTGTTGTATTTTACTATATTTTGTATTTTCTTATCTTATCATTCTTTCTGAATTTAAAGAATCTTTTCTTTTTTTTACTTAACAATCGACTTAAAATTTTAGTTAATATATTTCAATTAATTTGTGTAGAGACAACTATTTATTTTATACATCCAATCAAATAACTCAAAGTGTTTTATAATTTCAATTAACAATTCATGATTTGATTTTTTTCTATTATTCAAAGATTTTTCTTTTGTTTATTAGTATATTGTATTCTTTATAATTATATTAATTTTAGTACGTCATTTTTTCTTATGTAGTTAAGATATTAAAAAAAAAAGTTCTTTAATATTTAGGCTTATAATTATTAATAAATTTTTGTGCTGTAAATTATACTTTCTTATATTCTAAATCTATAAATTTTGTAGACATGTATCAGTACTATCGATGTTTCAGTTGAATGAAAAAAAAAAAATTTTACTATCATGTTTCATTATCAAAAATTTAGATTTTAGAAAAATTATCGAATAATATAATAAAACTATAATATAATATCATAGTTACAAAGTTATTTGTCTCTTTAATTCTTTTTCTACTTTGATTTCATTTGTATAAATTTTAGATGTAGACTTTTTTATTAATTGTATTATATTGTTTATTATTAAAAAACCAATTATCTTCTTTACCTTTTATTCTGTCAACTCTTTTCTTAAGTAGTTCGTTTCATAAAAATATACGTGCTTTTAAAGAATGTTATTTAGAAAGGATGTTGGATAACAGTGTAAAAGTTCCGACTAGAGGACTTAAGAATAATAACATATTGAAAGCTATTATTGATCAATCTTATATTATGGATTTTACATATTTTCGTATACATTTCCAATCGGGACAGGTATAGTCAACATTCTATTTAGTTGTAATATGGCAATATTTAATTAAATTAATTTCTTTTAAATATATTGACGTATTAATCTAATTAATTTAATTTATTACTATACATTTAAAAATATCAAGCCAAGAGCGATGTCTGGACTTGAAATATTTTCGATAAAGGAATATAATTATTAAATAATATATAATTGTTATAATAAGTAAAGTGTGAAATTCATAAAGATTTCTTTCTGTCAAGCATATGAAAAAGTAGAAATATAATGATTAATTAATATAAATATTACAGTTAATAATATATATTCATTATATTAGTAAAATTTATTTATAAGTTTCTTATTAATACCTAAATATTATACCTTTCACATTTCTTTTCATAGTGACTTCCTTTTTATTAATACTTACGTTTATATTCCACTTTCCTCCTCTCGCGCCTCTATCTATATATCTACCTATTTATCTATCTGTCTATCTCTATCCATCTACTTATCTCTATTTGTATTTCCCATTAAGACATATATATATATATATATATATATATATATATATATATATTTCTTATTATTTTCTTTTTTTAGTTTCTTTTTCTTAGTTTCTTATTATTTTATATAGATCAATATAAATGTATGCAATTTTATTTGAAATTTACAGTAAAGAATATTAATTGTTTCTGTAAAATGTAAGAATTAATTCTCAATAAGACAATTAATTATTAAATTTTTCCAATATCTTAACTAACATCTCTATAGTATTATTTTTCTTGACGTAAGTTTTATAAGACGTTTAATAAGTAAGATCATATTGATTTATTTCAAAATCATTTCATAATTACATAGAAAAGACGGATAAAATATCCTCAATACTTTCAAATACATATTATTTGACATTTTATCTAGATATAAGTGCCTATTCAAGTTTGATTAAATTATTCATTTTGAAAAATTTATCACTAAATTATAGAAAAATAAAAAGATTTTTAATTAATATATATATTAAGGCATAAAATTTTTTTAAAATATCGAAAAATTTGACAATTTACTTGATCTTTACTATTGCTTTTCAGGTTGGACCAAGCGTTGGTATTAGTGCTGGTGATGATCTGTGGATTTCTAGGTTTATACTTCACCGAATTGCTGAAGAGTATGGTGTAATTGTAACCCTAGACCCCAAACCTGTGGAAGGAAATTGGAATGGTGCGGGAGCTCACACAAATTTTTCAACAAAAGCAATGCGCTCAGACAACGGCATCATTGAAATCGATAGGGCTATCGAGAGGTTAAGTAAAAAACACAATAAACATATTCAGGCATATGATCCACGTGAAGGAAAAGATAATGAGCGTAGGTTAACGGGAAAATGCGAGACCAGCAGTATCCACGATTTTAGTTCGGGAGTAGCTAATCGCAATGCGAGCATTCGCGTTCCACGCAGTGTCGCTGAGGAAAAGAAAGGATATTTAGAAGATCGTAGACCCAGCAGCAACTGCGACCCTTATTCCGTTACCAATGCTCTCGTGCGTACTTGTATCCTTAATGAGTAGACAAACCAAAATATGTTAAATAATACTATGACCTGTGAAATATACTGGGACCTGACACAAACAGCGTTTAGAAGAAATATATTAATGCGATAAATATTTTATATTATTCGAGATATCTTTTCAATTGTATCATCTATCTAATATTCTGATATTCTCGAATGATTATACTTCCATATTCTTGCCTATCTATATATTTTTTTTTATGTCAAACTATTAGGAATTAAAGAAAGCTCAGGTAATTTTATAGTTATAACTAATTATCGTGAAATATTTACAATAATATATACATAAACATACACACACACATATATATCGATGTTAATAATCTTGCACAATATATTGATTGGAACTATTCTAAGTTATTTAATATTACATTCCTTAGTGCGTTAAAATTAAGAGATTATGCAGATATAGTAAATAATATATTCTCAAAGTTGTATATTATATAATATAATTTTAAATTCAATTTGATGTTTAATCAAATAATATTTGATATTTCAATTTGATTTTTTATATTGCCTACAATATAAATATGTTCTAGATAAATACAAAACATAGAGTTAAATAAATATTGATAAGTACGAAAGTGGAATTATATGACTTTAAATGGTTAAATTATTTTAGTGATTAGAAAATAAGATATAAATTAATTCTTTAGTTTATGTGTATATATACAAATTTATTTGAAAATCAATACATTTCTTATATCAAATATATATTAAATAGGAACTAAATCTTTTTTTAATTTTATTTGTAATTAATAATACAAGCTTTTATAAAATAAAATTGATCAAAGTTAATAAATTTAAATAATTTAAGTCAAAGTTAAATATTAATTAAAAAAACATTTTTCTTTATTACTTTATTATGCTTTTTTATATAAAATAGTTTTATAAAGTATATAAGAAAATTTTTAATAATATTTTTTTTTAAAAATTCTAACATTTGATTTTGATGAACTTTTTGAATATTTTCGAGTAACAATTAATCTAAAAATAATTTATTGAAAACATGTATTACATTTATAATTAATTAAAAAATTTACATATTTTTTTGTGTTGTAATGTGTATAATATATTATTGAAACTTGAAGTACCATACATCGAATGAAAAATATTTGAAAAAGGGATGTAATGAATATGACAAATGCAAAATTAACAAAATATGGTTAAAATATTACAAATAGATTGTTGGATACTATATTTTTCATAATTTTAATTTATCATAATTAATAATAAAATATTATTTAAAAAAATTTTAATTTTTTATTTCATTACTTAGTTTTAGGTATCAAATATGAATTTGCATGTTTGGTATTAGCGAGAAAGCATATTTGTAGTTTGGTTTGAAATTTATAAAATTGTAAATAATAATTATATTCATAAAAACAATTGTTTTTATGTTTGTAGTTATAAATATAAGTGTTCAATGATTTTTTAAATAATAAAGAAATAATTGTTAAAAATATTTGGTACTTATTTGCTATTCAAATTTTTTGCATATCATATTACAAACCACTCCATTTAAGCTTTCGTTATAAAGCAGTAAGGTACATTTAATACAAATAATACGTCCTTGTTGGTCTTTGAGTTCTCTTGCTCGCAAATATCTATCATTGGAAAATTTCGCGATTTTATTGTATATCTAGACAGACATTAGATCCTTCGAATATTCCGCCTGTATTTATGATATATTTTTTAGTCAGGCGTTGATATACGATACTTATATTTGTTTAAATTTAATTGAAACGCAAAATAAGGTGTTGTTATAAATATTTGTTTTAACAAAAGAACAGAAGAAAATGACTTATGAATTACCTCGTTTAATTGTTTGGTTGATCTATAAAAAGCGTATTTTTGTTAACAAAAATAATCAATACTATCCACAAATTCTTAGAAAAGTTTATTATTTTAAAGTAAGTTCATTGTTATTTATAACAATCCAATAGTTGCTAAGTATATATGTTGGGATGCACTTACCAGCATGTTCTTTATATTATGAAATTAATTAAAAATCAAAATTTATGTACACAAAGATATACGTACATAAGTATTGTTGAACTTTAAGTAAAGCTGAAATTCGATCTACTAACAAATTTATTATTTTATCTTCAAAGATTGTTAATTGTATTAAATATGATATTATAATCTTCCGAAAACGCAATAATAAATTTCACATTTTCATAATTGTAAAAATTATATACATATTTTAAATTTCAAAATAGTATATATAAAAATATTGACAACCTATAATAATGTTTAATAATTATAATAAAATGAAATTTTTATACGATTATTGTTTATTTAACTTAATTATTGTTTTCTTATTTGATTATCCAAAATATTAAAAGTAAATAAAAAATTTTCTGTTATTTCAGATATCACTTGTTTAAATGCTAAATATATTAACATATACAATTAATATGTATTTCATGTTGTATTATCTTAGAATATATAAAAATATAAAAAGATATCCCGAATTTCTTATACTTTTCTTCTTCTACGTTAAAAAACATTAAATTATAGAAAGTATTAAAATATTTTAATTAGCATTATACATGTAATCTATTTAGAAGTACAAGCATATGTAATAAAAATATCTGATTAATTAGTACATTATCCTTTTATATACTTAAAATGAAAATTATTCTAAATATATATACTGTAAATTATAATAAAAGTCTTTAAATACACTTCTTTTTTAAAAAGTGAATATCAAAATTATACATCTTTTTTTATTATTAATTTTTTTAAATAAATAGAATTTCATAAACAAATCTAATTTATATCTAAAAAATTAAAAAACATATGAAATTTTCCCTTTTTAATAATGTATTACTATTTGATAAAATTGTCATCAATTTTTTATACATTATTTAATATTGTTAATCATTGACATACTCTTTCAAATTGATTTAATTTTTTGTTTGATTTATTTTAAAAATTGTACTTTTCTTATATTAAAATTGTTTTCACCTTAAATATGGCATAGCACAAAAAATGAATAATATTAAAAACATTTTAATAATTTTAAAATTGACTAAATGATTGATTAAACGACCAGTTGATTAGTAGTACATTTTTCGAAATTTATTTTAAAATATTTTTGTAAAGCTCATAAATAATTATTTAAATGTTTAAAAGTAATGATTTCTTCTATTGACTCATAAATATTTAAATAATATATATTTATATTAATATATATATTAATAGTGTTTTTATATTTGTAGAAAGTAGAACTATAATAAATATGGTGAACAAATAAATAAAACATAGATTTGTGGTTTATCATTAAACTAAAATTTTTATAAACAATATTATTTATTAATAGTCTCTTCTTTTACCATGCAATTCTGCATGTTTAACGACATATATGAAATATTTTTTTGGAATTTCAAAATATAAAAAAATATATGCTTTCGGTTTATTAAATTGGTTTCATTTTTTTTTTTCATTACTTTTATATTTCTTTTAGCTATCGTTTTGTAATTAATCAATTATAAAATATATTTTTCACTTACATCAATAACATTATAGTGATGAACTTATAAATGGAATTTTAATCTATTAAGATTAAATATTTTTTAGATTAGTTAATTGCATGTATTAATTAATTGCAAAATGTCATCTATCAGATTAAAAACTTTTTATACTATCATTACTATTTAAGATACAATTTTAGATGTGTGTAATATTCACATTAGGCACTTTATTTTATTATCAAATCAATTTCATAAATGTTGGAATTATCTATATATATATATAAATCAAACAGTTTCAAACTTCGGTGTAAGCAGTTGGATTTATAAACCATGGCGTATGTATAAAATGTTCACATAAATTATTTTTTCATTACTACACATATTTAAATTAGTTATATTAATTTTTTTCTAATTTTCAGATGTTATAAAACGTTAATGTTAGTAAATAAAATTTATTAAACTGATACAATTTATTAACTTATATATGAATTATAAAAAGTAATTAAATTTATTTAGGTTAAAGTCACATAAAAAATCAAAGTATGTATTTATTGCATACATTAATAATAATTTTACATAAAGGTTTTTTTTTAACTTTAATAAATATTTACGTTTAATACTAAAATACATAATTTGAGAAATATAATTTGAAATTAAACTTAACTAGTTTTATTACATTAGTGATATAAAACATAAATAATTAAATTCAAAAGATTTAATTTAATACAAAAATCGACATATCAATTCAGTACGAGTACTGAGGAAATGTAAATTAACTGTATAGAAAATGTAAATAAATACTGTAGTCTATTTAATTTGCTTATCTATTTTTATGATAGCTATTTACTATTTATGAATTCTGATACCTTCCAATAGTTCTTATTACATAAAATCAATGGCGTTCGCTCTCTCTCCCTCTCTCTCTCTCTCTCTCTTGTTCTGTCACTCATCATCCAATATAATTGAAATACTCTGTAATTACACTAATACTCATAATTTTAAAGTTATATCATCGTGGTACACGTTTGAATTCGAAAAATTACTAATGGTTAGTCATTCTATTTAAAAATTTGTTCTATTTTGCCAACTTTGCCGATCACAATGATATTCACATGCTTCATTTTTCGACTGCCCTTTACCTTTCTTTATAAGAATATTTTGGATCTGTTCCAATTTATGATTTATTAAACTTAGAATATAAAGAAGTTCTCAATCGATAAATGGGTTTTTATTAAACGATTTCGAAACTGAATCTTGTATCATATGCAATGACACTTTTTTTACTTTAGTCTCTATCTAAAATGTTCGCGATCTTTAATTATTATCTTAAACGATTCAGAATTTTTTATCAAAATATATATGAGTAATAACAAACATTGTATATGTATTCATTTACATTCTCGTACATAAAATTGTCGTATATATTTTTTCATATTTTTCAATATTTACAGGGTATTAAAAAGTATACGATATATTTCTGACACAATTAAATTTTCATTCAGAGAATTCATTTTTAGAAAAACGCATAAAATAATTTTTTTACAAGTGTTATATGAAATATAAATTGAATATATAATTGAACATATAATTGAAATATAAATTAAATATATAACTGAAATATAAATTGAATATAATAGGAAATATATTGTACTATAAAAATTAAGAAATGATTTATTAATCATTGTATATTGTTAAGCATAAATTATTGAGTTATTAATTATAATTCTTCAAATTATTATTGTCTATATTTGAATTAAATGTTCAGAGTAAATATTTCACAATTTCCATTATTATAATTTAATGTACAATATATAACATAATTATATATTAATAAATTTAATCTTGTTTAACTAGTAACACAACAAAGGAAATGAAATTACAAAAATTTACTACAAAAAAAAGAAAATGATCTGATAGAGCGATGTTTGTGCTCAAATGAAATATGTGTTCTTTGAAAAAATATTCTAAATTTGCTTACGCTTGTGCATTATTAATAGTAAAAAGAAAAGGAAAAATATGTTCTTAGTGTGATAATGAAATAGATACAATGATTGTAATTATAATATCAGTACGAATTATACGTTTTAATTATTTAATATTTAATTTTGCTTTGGAAAGTTATTATGAGAAACATCTGGAAAGATACGTAGGTGATAAAACGATTAGCAAAGTAAATTATTGGATAGATACCGTCGATATTAAAGAAATTGAAAAACATGGAATTATTTATTTATTAGAAATTATTTAAAAGAAGCTTATTTCTAAGTACTCAAGATTGTTAATTAAGCTTTGTTTATTTTTCAAAACATTGTTAAATGTTATTAATAATATAAAATTAAATAAAATATATAAATAGACATTCGTTCATGTATCAGAATAAGAAAAATTAGTAAGATCAATGAGATAATGAGAGAGTAATAACAAAAAAAGAAATTGATAAAAATTGGGTATAATTTTAGCAGCATAACAATATTCAATGATAAATCGTACGCGGTAGTTATAGAATATAAAAAAAATAAATATCATACAGTCCGTTATATGATTAAAAAAAGTGAATATTACATTATATAATTGAGATAAACCTTGATTTATAAGGAACAGCAAATACTTCAACTGTCACTTTACGTAAATTAAAAAAGATAACAAACGAATAAGTACATGTTTATTATTGATATTTCTTCAAAAATTGATGTTTATCTTTCAGATAAATACTATTAATGTTTTATTTCTCATACTTGAACATTAAATATTTGATTATTAGTATCTGTTTTCTAATTATAATTATTTAGATTTAATTTTTATAAAACGTGTTATTAACAATGTTACAATTTTCGTTCATTAATGGTTTAAATTTTTCAGATATAATTTTGAATACAAGCAATAATGTACGGATTTTTAAAAATATTTGAAAACTATCTTAATTTAATATAAAGGTTCAGATTTAAGCTATTAATTTTAAGTTTTGTAAGATAATTATATTGATTTTTATTTAAATAATCTCTACATAATTAATTTATAAAAAATTAATTTTTAAATTAATTTATACATTTCAGCTTCAGTACAAAAATAATTGTTTTCATTTAAAATCATACTTATAACTTTTTATTTGTATTTTCTATTGCTATATATAATTTATATATTAATAATTAAAACTATTTACTTTTATATCAGATTTACTTAACATTATTCATTGTATTCTTTTAATTTATAAATTAAATATATTACTAGGGAATAGGAATTTATAAAAACACCATTACATTTTTATTATTTAGAATTCTTATATTTTTATATTTTTTAGATAAGAATTACAAAGAATGTATTGTTAATACAAAAATTTTTTTAATATGTTAGTATGACGTACATTGTAGAATATTCATTTAAATAGATATTTTTTTAACATTATAATATAGATATTCTTAATTTTTTGTTTTTCTAGCATACTTTTTAAATATTGCAACTACATATTTGTAAAATGATTATATTTAGTAATATTAAAATTATAATTTAAAATCCTTTTCAATATATAGTACAGTTAAAGCAAAGGATATTGCATATTGATATTTAATTTATAATAAAAATTAAATTAGAATAACAAAAGTTTTTTAAGCAGTTTATAAATACAAATTTTTTATTTTGTAACATGTATTTCAATTATACTTTTATCTTTATTGCAATATTAATAGTTGTTAATTATCAATCACCGTATAATATAATTTATAAAATGATTTAATAATTTATGCGAAAACATATTCTTATTTTTATGATAATATGTTGTTTTTATAAATATTTTTCGTTTGTATTTTTCAATTCATTATTATTTATGAATTTAAAATATAAATGTATTTTTAAAGCTATTTCTTGATTTAATGTAACCAATTTCAATTAAAGGTAATAATTTTTATAATAGTTTTTAATTTGAAATTTGAAGGTTAATGTATACAATATACTATATACTTATAACAGGTTAATAATTAACAAATAAATTGGACATTGATATATTAATCACCTTATAATTTAAAACAATTTTTATTGACCCTTTCAAATGTTAGGAATTGCGTAAACATTTTAAATGTTTAACTAACAGCATGAATTGTATCAAAATTAAGTTATTTGAACTCAAGAAGGCACTAACGCTTTCCCTCTCTTATTCTTCCAACTTCTAAGTACAAAAACCATGTCTTGACAAGAACAACTTTTATTATGGCCGCTCTTCTCGCGCCTGCGTTTCTACTGTTAGTAAAGCTCATGGATTCTCCTGCCCCCCCCAAACTATCTCTTTTTTGACACTCCTAGTGTTTGTTTCTTAGTCTGTCTATCTATTTATCTATATATATCTCTCTATCTCTGTATCTCTCTTATACATACACTCTTACTCTCATTCTGTTTATGCCTCTATTCGTAGCTTTTTTTGCTTTCTGTGTGTATCAGCAAATTGAATAAGTCACCTATAGCAGCTGTGGCGCCCCGTATGTGTACATATTATTAAAAGAGACGCCGCATTTCTTGCGAACTACCGAACATTGCATTTCGGTCCTTCGCAGTGTACGAACGTTTTACTTTGCACACAAGTGTGCCATTTTATCCAAAATTTGGGTAAGGGCCAAATCTAAAGAGTGAGTAGGAAAAACAGTGGAAAAAGTGAATTTTTGTAATATTTCGTTATCGGAGTCGACGTAAAATAATTCAGTGCAAGAACTATAAAACTCGGATGCGTTTGTATACTATTACGTTTATGTTACACTTTGTTTTTTCATAATTGATAGAATTTTCATAGAATAAATTATTTTCGAAATTTAAGTCTAAATAAACTCGGAACTTTTCTACTGTAAAGAGAGACGGGGATAAATAAAACAATTATGAGCTTTAAGGTACTCGTTAAAATTTGTGAAGTGGGCATGATCCCGAAAAGAGTTGCTGGACACACTGTACAATGGGTGAAGTTCGGTAGATATTTCAGGTAAGTTCGGCTATGCTTTACACTTATGACCTCATTTTTTTTATTTATATTCTAAAGTAATGACTTTCAAGTGTTCTTGCTTTATATTTTATATTCAAGAATTTATTATGATTTATTATAAACGTAAATATTATATGATATAAAATCGAGTATATTGCTATCGTAAATATAAAATTGATGATATTTTCGAAATTAAATCTTAATATAAAATAAAGAAACATCATTTTTCTACGTAATATATAAAATAAGTTATAAAAAATAATTCCTAAATAAACAAACATTTTTTTAAATTTCATTTTAAGTTTATATTATTTTATCGTTTTGAAAATAATATTTATAAAATTTGAATAATTTTATTTTATTATGAAGATATAATTAGATTTGGTAAATTATGACACAATTTCTACGTAACTTTATTCAAGCTATTATGTTGTTAGATTAGGGCAACATTATGAAGGTGGTATTTTGAATAGGTTGGTTTTCTTTCAATTCATAAACAAAATTCTCAATAAATACTAAATAAATACAAGATTTATATATACATTTTTAATTTGTATTATTATATCAATAATAAATTGGAAATAATACACATTAAATAATTAAATATACAATATGAAATTTGTATTATCTTCCTTTTTTTTTTTTAATTTTTTTAAAATAATAATCTTAGTGTATTATAAATATTTTGAATTTATAAGTGAATTTTTGATAATCAAACAAATTTTTATAAATTTTCAAATTAATTTTCCTTTTAAATAAATAAATATACTTCACAAATGAAAAAGCATAATTATTATAGGATTTATAGCCACGATCATTGTGATTTATCTTTATAATTTTAAATTTACTAATTAATTATTTATACAAAATTGACTAAATTTTTATTTTAAAAATAAAGAAAAACTGTATTAAATTTTAAGAAATTTAATATTAAAAATTTGTTAAGTCATCTATGAATGTATATTATTTTAAATTATTTTTAAAAAACTGTTTTTGCAAAACGTAAATCATATAAAAAAATTAATCTATACAATTTGAATACACGAAAAATCTTTTTTATTTCATGTACAGCATGTTTTCTTCCACTCGAGCGTTGAATTTCGATCACGCGTGCCATGCTTATCTATCATCCAGAATGCAACAACGTATCAAATGAACATGGAAACAAATTTTTAGGTTCTCTTTAATAGTATAGTTAAGATAATACTTTAATGACTGATATTTAATTTTTTATTGTCATTTATAATAATCTTTCTTGCTTCATAGAAAAAATATATGGGTTATTTGGACCAATTTGTATTTTTATTTATTTGTTATTACTTTTTATTTAGATTACATTATATTAAATAATATTTATTTTCCTTGGTATTAATAAAAATTATTTTGATATATAATTTTTAATTAATTTATGTAGTACAATAGATAATATTTCTTTTAATATATATTAAACTATTATTTTAAACTAATGTTTATACTATTTTACTATTAATTTCAAATTATTTTAAATTTCTAAAAATTATTTGGCATTTTTATGATATTTTGCTTTTAAAGATATTGTAAAGATTTTGTTTATTTCTATATTTTATTAAATTATTATATTAATGAAATGTTGTATTTGTTCAATTAATGAAATAAATATTACGGTTAGATTATTATAATTATGTGATGAAAACTGAAGTCTATTCAAGCAACCATTTTACTGAAATCATTGATTGTTCACCTTGAAATTAATTCTATATACCGATATTTTAAATTCAATTCTTAAATTAATAATAATAATAAATTTAATAAAAAAAATTATTATTCTTGATATATAGTAATTGAAAATAATTTACAAATTTTTTTAACTTAATTAATGTATTATTTCTGCACAAACATTATTATAAAAGAAAAATCATGTATTTATAATAAAGGTCAATTAATATTTTTTCTCATATTAAATTTAATATCATTGTATATTTAGCACGTTATTATTGTTATATATTTATGAGAATAATTAAAATTTTATTATAGAATTACACAAATTAGAAAATAAAAAAGAGTTTTAATTTGATCTAAAAGTGAAATTTTGGCATTAAAGTATATAAAAAAGTGAAATATTTTATGTAAATTAATTTTCTGAAGATAATTTGTTTATTTAATTAAAATTGTATTATGTATGTATGTACTTGATATAAAAATACTCTTCGCGATTTGTTTAGTCATTATGTATTTCTACTTTAACAAAACGTGAGCTCAAAAAAGAACTGTTATGAAATTCACATTTTATTCTAAATGGTATATATATATAAAATCTAAGAAATTCAGAATACTTATTCATAAATATTAATTTAAAAATATAATATATATTTTTTTCAAATTCTTTTTTATATAAGCAATCAATTTAAATGAATCAACTGTTATATTCAATGTTATATTATATGTTATATTGTTATATTCAACTATTGTGAAAAATTCTTAAAATGTATACTTAAAGTTCGATGATCAATAATAATAAATATTGAGATATAAGAAAAAAAATTATTAACGCAAGTATAAAAGAAAAAATTGATATGTAAGGCATAAAAAATGTGGTGAAAAGTAGTTTATGATTCTTATTATAAAATTTAAAGTGGCATGTAGATGAGAAGAATTGGCATGGTTGAGGTAATTTCCATCAAATGCACGCGTGTTGGAACGCAAACTAAGTATTAAAAGAATATTACCAAGCGAACGTCTTACTATTTGTAGAGCCCACATTCTTTTCGACTTGTGTATTTATTCACTAATAAAATTGCAACTAAGTATACGTTTATTTTCGTATTTTTTCTTTTACTTGTAGTTTTTGGATTTCCTTTCTATAATTAAATAATGTGCGTAAACCAGGCATTTGGAATTATACACAAATTACGATAGAAAGACATTTTATATTTTTTTATTTTTGATTGAATAGAAATAGTGAACTAAACGCCTTCAATGTTTGTTCTATGAATTAATTAATAGGTTATAAAAACAGATATAAAATAAATTAATAATTATTAATGCAATATCGTTAGTTTTATTAGTTTAAGAATTATATTGTTATCTAAAAATAGAATTAAATCAAATGTAAATAGTGAAGAAGTCTAATTGGTAATATATTTCTAGTATTATATATCGATAAATTTTTACTAAAAGTCAGTGATTATATTATTATTTTACAGTTTTTATCCTTTGAATTTATATGTAATGAACAATTAAGTATTTAATTTTCAGTGGAGTCGGTTGGTAAATTAGTTTATTTTTTGTTGATATTCATTTTATTTTTAATAAAATAACAAAATAATACAAGAAATTAATTTATTATTGTAATATGTAAAGTAGTAAATGAATGTAAAACAGTCTATAACCTAGTGGTGTCATTGTGATAATATTTATAGTCAGAAACTTAAATCGAATAGGTAATTTCAATTTTAGGAGAGATACCGTTTCTTATAATATTTAATTACTAACATCAAACAGAAATTAGCTAAAATATGATGAATATTTTTCATATAGCACTAAACCTAGTACTTAATTATAAGTGTAATAATCGTCTTCTGATAAGATATCTTATTAATAGTTGTCTGCTTTTGTATCAACGCAATGAATAAAAATATTACATACAGATACAGCATTTATTAAGCTTAAATAGAAACTTGTAATCTAAAATTGTCAAAATATTTTTCATTGCGATAAAACCGAATTTAATTTTTGCATATTTGGTAATTTTATTTGGTGTTCAATAATATTTGCATTGATCTAAATATATAAATTGTAGGACTAAAATTTGTAGACCATGTAAAGTTAAATTTATGAATTTTTAAAAATATTATCTGTGGTAATATGAAATAGGCCTTACATAAAAAAATTTGTTGTACAACGGAGTATATATAAATTTTGAATTTTTTACTCATAATAAATATATAAGAATTAGTTTTATTTTTTTAATGATTTTATATATGTACTCGTGTCTCTTAAAAATTATAATCTCATGCCAAATCATGTTTTGCAATGTAAATCTTCTTATATTCGGTCACAATTTAATGGAAAACAAAAGTGATACTTTCTTATTTAATATTAATAACTCTAAAGCTGTAATACATAATTATGACTGAAAGAGTAAAGAATGATTTTTTATTATTATTTTATAACGAAAATGATAGGTAGATAACTATTGACATATTTGCTACTAATAATTTTCAAAAAGAAGTGCGTTACTATTAGGACTTCAAAGGAAACAATATTAAATTCTTTTTCTAGGCAATGATTTAGTTTACAGGAAGTATATAAAAGATTATTGTATACAAAGATATTTTGTTACTTTTTAATGTTGATTTGAGAAATAAGTAACAGTAATCGAATTATATTTAAATAAATTTCAATTTTATTTCAATAAAAATGCATTTGTTTTAGTTCATAAAAATTTTTTTAAACTTTTGAAATCAGTAAGTCTTCTATTAAATAATTTTAAAAAGTTTATTGTTTAATTTTAAAGACTTCGTATAATACTCTTGATATAATATCATTGATGACGAATCTACGATTTAAAATGCATCATAATATACAAGCCTCAAGTGGCTACATCGGATGCTACGTAGTAGGCAATAAACAAAGTTAATATGGTGCATAAATACTACTCATGATATATATAGTACTTCTAATAATTTTAATTTCTATAAGATGATGACTTCTGCATTGCGATTTATAAATAAGTAAAAATTATTTTTCTTTACTTAATTTACTTAATTGCTTATTAATTACTGTATTTCATGCATTTAAATCTCATTATAAAAATAAAAAGCTATATTTCAATTTTGCGAGACAATTTAAATTTAATTTAAATATAGTAAATATTTATAAATATTTATATTTATAATAATTATAATATAGTAAATATAGTAAATATAAATATTAATTTAATGTAGTAAATATTTATTAGAAATTATGTGTATTAAAAAGTATTACGTAATTGCATACATGAGGAATTTAAACTCACCATG